GGGCAGGGCACCGTAGAGTTGGGGCGGGGCACCGTAGAGTTTTCCCTCAATTCACAGTGTCCCCCTCACAATGTGGCCAGCGTGATGATGTCACCTCTAGGTGACATCATCACTCTGGGGATGCCCTCCGGCAGGGGGTGGAGTTCCCCCCGGGGCCTGATCTGCTGGTGGTGGGTAATGGGCCTCCTGGGCGGGAATTTACCCGCCCCCAGCGGGGGCTTGGCAAGCCTAACAGTGTGACAAACCAACCAGAACACTGTAGTGGCACAAATGGGTCTCGTCTACTGCATCAGTGTCGTGATCATCGCCATTGCCAGCTGTGGCCCTGCAGCAGCAGTATCAAAACTGATGGAGCTGGGTGCTCTTCATTGGAAAGTACAGCATGAGATCTGCAGGTAACTGATATGTACAGGGCCCAGATGCAAAACCAGACAGAACTCCATACCTTTATTGTCTGTGTAGAATGTTGGCAGGTACGGACTTTGCATTGTGGGAATAGCAGAAGTTGCAACTGATTACGCTCCCTCTGCTATACCCCGTTCAGAGTAAAGGAGCCCTCTCCTGTTCAGTGGGTCACCTTGCTCATATACCATCCGAAAGGAACTGTGGCCAACACAGTGACAGAACCTTCTACATTGGAGCAACACTAGGCACGTGACACCAGGCAGCAATCTAATATAAGATCATTGTAACTGATAAAGCAGCGTGTCAGAATGGATTTGCCAGCTTGCTTGCACATAACAGAAATAATTTCCCTGTTGCTATTTTATTTCAAGACATATTATTGTGTGCTGGTATACCATCAAGCTGAGTTATTCTATGTACATTTTCTTTGGAATAAGCAACATTTATGCGACATAGTTCTAACAAATGTACATAACGCTTGCTGTGAAACAAACCTCACATTTATCCATAGGTGACAAAATGCAGAGTGATGGATTATTATTACCTGCTTCTGTCCATTGTTTTGGAGAGAGAAATTCTGCAGTTTAGCTGGACTTGCCAGTTCACAAATCCAGTATGTATAAAATCTCCCTGCTTATATGCCACATAGCTAAAAACAGCACATCATAATTACCACTGCATGATTGTTTGCATCCAGCAGGATAAGATTTCCAAGCTTTATCCTGACTTTGGCTGCTAAGAACTTGAAACATCTGGCTCTGGAGCTGTTTTGACAAGGTAGCCCTCCATACAGAATGGAAATTGAGAAAGTTTAATCTTCTGTGCGGTTGAAATTACAAAGGAGTTTGCAGGGAGTTGGAAATGGCAAACAGAAGTCTAATCTTACTCCACCAGACAGTGTGGCCTTACAAGAACAGTGACCCCAGTACAGGTGGTTTAAAAGAACGCTGCTGTTACAGGAAATCTTTTAAGGAGAGTTTTCTAATTTGGTTTGTGTAAATTCAGGATCAGTAATTATCAGTTTTTACATGTTTTATTTATTTCTGAATTTCTGCTCACATTATCCTGCATTCAGAGGCATTTAAAAATTAGGGATTAAAGCACAATTACAACATACAGCAACTGGAGACAAACACACCAAGGGGTGGAGCATACCAGCTTTCCCAAACAATCTCACCTGATTCCTCCTCTTCCCTGCAGCTTATGTCCTAAGTAACTTTTAGAATCATAGAATCATAGAGTTGGAAGGGGCCATACAGACCATCTAGTCCAACCCCCTGCCCAATGCAAGACCAGCCTAAAGCATCTCTGACAAATATTCATCCAAGATCCCCAGCAGAGTCCTTCTAGTGGTGAAAAAGGGGCCTTCCTCCTTTCACCATGAGAAAAACGTACAGGATCCAATCCTAAATACTAATATTTAGACAGCCAGGATGCGTAGTGGTTAAGAGTGCCAGACTAGGATCTAGGAAACCGAGGTTCAAATCCCCACTCTGATATGGAAGCTTGCTGGGGGACCTTGGGCTAGTCATAGACTAATCTACCTCACATGGTGGTTGTGAGGACAAAATGGAGCCTAAATAAAAATAATAGATTGCTCTTCCAGGAAAAAAAATTAAAGCAGCGTTCACAATAAGGTGTCAAACTCAGAGTTTTGTTTGCTGTGATATTCTTTTGTCCTCTTGGTTCAGGGATGCTTTGGCTGATCGGGGTGGGGGGAGAATGTGTCTCAGTGCATGTGTGGGAATGTGCTTTGCTAGATGCCTGTAACGTTTTTCTAAGGAGCCTCCCAGGAAGGGAAGAGAAATGTGTCCTCGAAGCATTTACTGCCAGGAGTGCTGTCATAGATAAAGTAGTGGGAGTTCACGGGGGGAGGGAGGATGGGCACGCAACGGCTTGGTGGGACGAATTACCAGTATGATTGGATGGGGCACTGGGGGGGTCAGTTTAAAGTAGGTATAATATTGGGGTTTGCACCAATAATCGTTAGTTCTGACACAAGTTGGTTTGTACCTGTCACGACTTCATATCTCAATAAACAAATCTGCTATCCCAAGAGTGTTGTTGAGAGTGAGTACGTACAGGGGTCTGACAGAAGGACTCAGACAATGTCATATCGATTTTTTCTGAGAACTTTCTGACAACAGAGTGTTAAGGACCTTTCTGTATGATTATTTAAAGTTAACTCCAGCACCATTTTATTCACTCTAAAACACAAGCGTTTAGCCAAGTTTTCCATTGGCAAATCATAGATTTCAGTGTTAGTAGGAGAAAGACTTAAATCCAACTGATTGTGCGCGTTTCCCACATGAACTGAAATCTGTCTCCTCATTATGTCCAGACCAAGCTTCTTCAGATAAATGTTCACTCTGAGCCAGTTTCTAGATCTGGGGCTGTGCAACTCAGGAAAGATGCCCCATTTGTCATTACAGTGTACAATTCATTGTCACATCATGGTCCCATGGGGTTGCCAGATCTCCCCTGGCAACCGGTGGGGGATTAGGGGTAGGGTTGCTAGATATAGATTGGGAAACTCCTGGATCCAAAGTGATGGAACCTGGCGAGGACAGGGGCCTCAGGTGGGGTGCAATGTCAAAGATTCCACCATCCAAAGTATCCATTTTCTCAAGAGAAATTGATCTTTGTAGTCTGGAGAGGAGCTGTAATTCCAGGGGATCCCCAGGTCCCACCTGGAGACTGGCATCCCTAGGTCACAAGACCCCAGTGAGAGCTAGGACTGAGACAGGCAACCTCCATTTGGGAGTTTTCAGCTTGCCTTGAGCTACTTACTCAGTAGCTTCTGTTTGTTTTGTTTGTTGTACTTGCTCCTTGCTTTGGATGTTGTGAACAAGGACAGGGGGGTGGGTGTTAGTGATCTTTTTCTTTTTTCCTGAGGGTTACATCAACTGGTTGTTAGTTCCTTACCATTCTGTAGTCCCCAAATAAAACCATATAATCATATGCACAACACTGAACATACTTCATGAGAGCACAACAGTAGCTGTGTCACTAGGGTGGTATTCGTTAATTACTTAGCCATGTTTAAGAACTATGGAAGAGCTCCAGGAGGATCTATTTGATTTGGGTGAGTGGGCAACAACATGGCAAATGAACTTCAGTGTTGGAAAGTATAAGGTGATGCACACTGGAACAAAAAATCCTGTCTTTGAACTGGCTGAGACCAAGACACAAAGAGATCTTAGAGTTATAGTGCATACATACCTCAATGAAAATGTTGACTTAGCATGTGGCAGCAGTGAAAAAGGCAAACTCAATCATGGGGATTAAGAAAGGGACTGAGAATAAAACACCCAATATTGTGATGTCTTCGTGTAAGGCGGGACATGATAGAGATTTATAAAGTTATTTGCGTGGCAGAGAAAGTGGATAGAGGGAGTTTTTCTGCTCCTTCATAATACTACAATTGGAGGCACCCAAGGAAGTGGATGGGCAATAGGTAAAACAGGACAGACAAATGGAAATACTTCTTTACTCAGCCATGAAATCCCCTAAAACAAATGAGGACCATTACTCATCAAAATTTCCATTCACCCTTGTAGAATTATATTTAATATTTGCTGGGGTTTGTAGGGTGGGGTGGATTCCCCACCCCACAGGCAGAGGCCAGATTTGGGATTTTATTTTCTCCTATCTTTACAACTTGCTATTTTTTTCTGTCACAGAGAGGGACATCATTCCTCCATTTATTGACAGTGACATCTCACGCTCACTTCCAGACAGAGTTGCCAGCTCCCGGCTGGAAAATATCTAGAGATTTTGGGGGTGGAGCCTGAGAAGGGTGGGGTTTGGGGAGAGGGAGGGACTTCAGTTGGGTATAATGCCATAGAATCCACCTTCCCAAGTGGCCATTTTCTCCAGGTGAACTGCTCTCTGTCACTTGGAGATCATCTCTAGTATTTTGTGAAATCTTTATGCAAAAATATGTCTGTCTTAACGGTGGCCTGAATAACACACGCGCGCGCGCGCGCGCGAATGTAGGGTTTTTTTAATGCGACAAAGTGTTTTTCATATTATATTGCTGGATCCTACACATGCTTACTGAGAGTCCCTGTAACTTCAGTATGTGTAGGGGGGGGGAGGTCTATTCCTGGAAGTAAGCTTGCCAACCTCCAGGTGGTGGCTGAAGATCTCCCAATATTACAAACTAGAAATAAGGCCCGTTGTACTTATTTCCACAACGGGCCTTATTTCTAGTTTGTAATATTGGGAGATCTTCAGCCACCACCTGGAGGTTGGCAAGCTTACTTCCAGGAATAGACCTCCCCCCCCCTACACATACTGAAGTTACAGGGACTCTCAGTAAGCATGTGTAGGATCCAGCAATATAATATGAAAAACACTTTGTCGCATTAAAAAAACCCTACATTCGTGTGTGTGTGTGTTATTCAGGCCACCGTTAAAACAGACATATTTTTGCATAAAGATTTCACAAAATACTGGAAAGGGGAACCACCACCACACATCTACCCTCAAGTTGCTTGAGAGCCGAGACCCATTTCCACCCAGGACGCCCCGCCTATTGGGGGCGCACGTCCATCATTCCTGCGTGGGAGGAGATGCGCCGTTCTCCAAACCAGCCCGTCTGCTCCCACTGCGCCTGCGTGCCTAGCGTGGCGCAAACACAGACGGGGGAGCTGTGCCTTCGGGGAGGAAACGCGGGGCCGGTGCAGCGGGAGCTGCCATGTTGCTTTCCGCGCCCTTTCGGGCCGTCTTTGCGCATTCGGTAAGGAGTCAGGGAAGGGCGGCTAACTGAGGTGTAGACTGGGGGCGATAGCGGCCAAGGACATGGCCTTCTCCGTTGTCCTGAAACCGGAAGAGGAGGAGTCTGGGAAGGGACTCCGGTATCGAGCGGGGGGGGGGGGGAATGACAAGACGAAGAGAATGTGCGTTTCCATGCTACGCACGTTGGGAGGGCTTTTGTGCTTTAGGGTTGAGTTCTGAGGATCCAGATGGTAATGTGCATCGGCCTTCAAACAAAAACCGAAAATAATCTAAAGGGGTGCGTGGGGAACGTAACAACATGCACCGCTTCCGTACCTTTTCCTAGCATTATCGTTCCCTAATGGAAGTGACTGTTGTGGCCTGTTACAGGCAGTGGTGTACAGTTGGACCCTCAAGGTCAAACTAGATGTGACTGTCTCACAGCCACCTTGGTTTCTCCCAGATTCTCATTATAAAGAGAGTTGGGTAAGAGGTGAGAATTGACAGTGCAGCGTCGGCGGCCTGGAGCAGAAGCGGCACCGCACCTGCTTTTCTCTAGGGAGATCTTTGTTTACTTATAGTTTTGGAGCCTAACCTAGAAAGAGAAAAGCTGAGGTCCAGTACTTACAGGGTGAAAAGCATTGGAGGGGGAGGCTTGCTTACTTGACCAGTTCATGCCACACTTCAAAACAATTTGGTAGTGGACTTAGTGTTAACACTATACAAATTTAGCCTTTATGCTGAATTTTACTCTGGGATGACTCTTTAGAGAAGAGGGCAGCTGGTAGAAACTAAGTCTACCAAGTGTTGTTAGTGATGTAGCGGCTTGGAAACTCTTAAGTCTGAAGGCAACGTACTCTGAATAGCAGATCACACAGAACACAGCAGGAAAGAGGTGTTGTGGTCATGGCTTGCTAGTAAGCTTTCCAAAGGCATTCTGCTGGCCATTATGTGGAATAAAATGATGGACAGATGGGCCTGTGGTCCAATCCAATAGAAATCTTTTTATGTTCCTAACAAGTACCCAGTCCAGGGAGAAGAGGCTGTGGAAAAGAGTAGTTGTCATTTGATTCTCCTAAATAAACCTGTATGGGTATGAATCCTGGATGAAGCCAGGCAGGAGAGAGTAATAAGGGACAATACTGCCCTGTCCAATTTGTTTTCTTCATCCCTAGTTATCTCTGTCCTAGACTACCAACCCAGTGTGTATGTGTAGTGATTGCAGACGAGGGCTAGGAAATGGGTGATGGGAAAAAGGAACAGAGAATGACTGCTGAGATGCATTGTTTAATTCTGGATGACTAGAGGAATCCATTGACTTTTGAAGTGGCCATGCCCTAAAACAAAGATGATTGGGTGCTCGCAAACTGGTCTTCAGGGGCTGTCTCCAAATAGCAAAAATTCTGAAAAATTCAACAGGGATTATGCATGCATAAACATGAACACTGTTGTTCAACACATACAGTACGATATGTATGTACATACAACATTCAGTGTACTGAGAGCCAGTGTGGCGTAGCAGATAAAGTACTGATAAAGTACTGGATCCAGGTTTGAATCTCTTTGCTAGTATTGAAGTTTGCTGGGTGATCTTGGGCTACTCGAACACTCTCAACCTAACCTACCTCACACAGTTATTTTTAGCTCATAGGAAGAGAGAAGAATGATGTAAGCTGCTTGGGTCCCCACTGGGGAGAAATGTGAGGTGTAAAAAAAGTGAGTGCTTTCTCATTGTTGAATTATGTCTCTTTAAGGAGGCTTCACAATTGATCACATAAGCAAATTGGGAGGGGTATCATTCATCTGTATTCAAAGCAGAGTTGGTTTGCCTATTGGGATGCATAGGGATGTAGCTAGACTACTGGAATAAATGCATTCTGACAGATGAACAAATTATTTTTCACCAGAATACTTTGCTTCTATGACCAAATGTTAGCATGATAGAGAAGTAAGTGAGAGACTACAAACATAGAATGTATCGTGTATTGCCTGTTTTACTTGTGCTGAATCTTGTATGTCTGTGCTGCCTTGTGCTATTATGCTAATTTATCCACATCCAGCTTGCTTTTGTGGCCAGAAGTGTGGCTTGCTTAAGGAGACATAACTCAGAAAATGAGAAAGTATGTGTGTTATATGTAACCTTGTGAAACTTACTGAAATTTTACAATTTAGAGACAGTCCCTGAAGATCAGCTTGTGAGCAATCTATCCCCATTGTTTTAATGCTTTCCATTTTATTTTGGTAAACCAGTGGATTTCTGTGGTCCATCAAAAGGAACCACTAGATCTCAATAGTCATTCTCTGTCATTCCTTTTTGCATCACCCAAAAATGAGGTGGAAATAGACCCTGATTTCTCATCTCTTTAGCCATTCTTGATTCTTGAGCATCCAGTTCACTTAGAGGAAGAGCAGAGGATAGGACTCACAATTATGAGTCTGAATTATGGGAGGAAAGGTACTGGCTAGATATTAGGAGGAAAGTTTACAGTAAAAGTAGTTCAGCAGTGGAACGGGCTGCTTAGGGTTGTGGTGGACAGTCTTCAGGCAACAGCTGGACGAACACTTATGCTCTAGGCTGATCCTGCATTGAAAAGGGGGTTGGACTAGATAGCCTGTATGGTCCCCTCCAACTATGTGATTATGGGATCTTCTGTTCCTGTACTGTCTTGATGGAAAATGGACAGAGGGCAACATTAGTGTACTTTTGTTTCCTCTTACCTGAGGCATACAATTAGATGTATTAACTGCTGCATTATATTTTTCTACTTGTTTGGTATTGTTTTGTCCTCCCTTGGTTTCAGAATCTGTGTCCTCAGGTATCTTGAAGGGAGTTTATGGTGGTATCTGTGTCAGTAGGTCTGAAATTCTTC